GCTTTCCAAGAATTTTTGAGTCGTGTTTATATCCATTATCAAAGCAACACTACTCTGTCGAAGCAATACTAGTCTCTTTATGCGGACAAAAGTCCAGCTTTCTTCGCGAGATTCGCTTGGTGAAAGCTACCGTTAAACACGTCGAGCTTTAGTAAAAGTAGTTCTTCTCCAAATTGTTCTTCCGACTATTTTTCTAAATGACGAAGTTACGGAGGAATCCTGCGCAGGAAGCGTCGAAAGCTGGCCGGGGATTTCAGGTGGAATCGAATTAGGTGATGCGCGGAAGCGAGAGGGCAAAGTGGCGGTTAGGTCGTGCTAAATAACCTGATTAACGATCCTATAGACGATCGCTTGTTGCGATCCAATACGGCAACAGCCTCCTATTATTTAGCTAGTCACGTCTTCGTCGGGGGTTAAGCGAGGGTGAACGTGATCATCCCTTAATTTCGCGCGACGGAATTATCCTGTGGCGTACGGTATCTCAGTTCTGGGCGAATACATGTTGAAGCGCGGAAGGGCGAAGTAATTGCACGTCGCCTTCGGTTTCGAAAAACCTTTATTCATTAGAAACGCGAATAGAAAACCGGACGGAAAGTGTTTACATTTTGACGCATTCTGAGTGCCTGCAGAGGGGATTTCAGAGTTTCTGCATCGGATGGTAGCGAACTTTTAGTACACATATTCCATACGTTTCCGTACTCTACATTTCTGCTAATGTTCGTAAATGGAAGCACTGCTTCTTTATTAAAAGAAAAGATTGTATGCTCTGCGCTGTAAAAACACGCTAAGCGAACGCTAAAAACCGCAGGTGGGTCGAGTGCACCGTTTACTCGGAATAAATTCCCTAACAAATGCTTGTTCCACGCTCGACCAGGCCCTCGAACCTCGTTGTAGCACGTGCTTCAAAACCGTGAAAGTGTCGCGTTCGCGTACGTCCAACGGTTTTCTCGCGTAAAAAGTTAGGTTCGTTTCGAAACGACGGAGGAGAGGCCCGTTGGGGGTGAAAAGCTCGCGTCGAGCGAAATAAGTGCGGGTGAAGAACGAACGGCGTGAAAAGTTGCCCCGACGAGGGCGGCGGCGTGTTACCGCGGAAAAGAGGGCCCCCGTATATTCGCGGGAGTTCCCCCGGCGGATGTCGCCATTGCTTGGAAGAAACGGGCCGCTGGCGGAATTAAAAATTTTTTAATTGCAATCGTAAACCAGCGCCGACGCCATTCGAGGTGCGAGCGACTGCTAATTATCGTCCAAGAAATTACGGGGCATTAAAGAGGCGAATTCCCCCGCCTGGATCAACGACAATGCTCATTGTTCCTTGGTTGAATCACCGGAAAGTCCTCGTCCGCGAAAAACGAGCTGGTAGTCCAGGGATGAGTGGCAGCGAAGTTATCGAATTCCGGCGAATTCGTGGGTTGCGTTTAAAGCATTCGTTGCAGAAGCTCTGAAATCCCAACGTATTTTCTGAGTAGAAAGGTGATCTCCTCTTCAGGCTTGACCATCCCGGATTCTCGATGGTGAATATCTAGAGGTCGCTGAGAAGGTCTACGGATTGTTGTGATGTACGATAACGGTACCCTTTTTGAATAAGTCGTTAATTCCAAACTGCATTGTCAGCGGAATAGAAATCCTGATGAGTCGCGTTTCTGTCCAATGCATATGTTTCTATTAAACATTAAACCTACCGACGTTTTATTTCCCAATCTGTTTTTATCATGATCAAACGACTAGTCTTAAGGACATTATTTAAATTAAATGCAAGATTATTTTAAGTAAGACTAAATTGAATAATGCTAGAAATAATTGTATATAATTCGTATACCGTATATAAAAACTGTACACAGAAGTTTGAAAATGCTCATTTTCAAATCTTATTTGAGAGGGTTTGACTTCAGTAGAGCGAGTCAATTGTATGTCAGACGTCCGGAGTGCTTTGAATTCTTGAATTTGTCGGAACTTTCTATTTTAAAGAAAGGGGGTGGAAGTGTTGACTCTAGAAAAGACAAAATACAACTTGTCCCCTTCTTGACGAAGGTGCATGTCTGCAGAACTCAACAGGCTCGAGAACTACTACCAAAGCATGACTAAGAACTAATAGCGTTTCTACCATGAAAATGCAACCGATAGACAATAAGACGAATTCCTTCTCACATTATACACATACATCGTAGAGGTCCATTCTTTGCAGCTTGTTGGTCCCGGTACCATTTCGGCCGATCCCATTTCAGTTTGCTCGGTCCAACAGCAACGTCGCGTCTGTGGTAGCGACGATCACAATTGGACCTCGTAATTTCTTGCGCTAACTTTATGCCAGTTATTCCGGGGAGGAACGGCATTCCGAGCACGCGGTTCCCTGAAAGGACCTTCTCGCTTGTAAACGCATTCTGTGTCTTGCGGGGAAATTCGTTTCCGGTGCTCTGATAAATCGCGAACGGTCGCGGTTCACGAGCAGCCATTTCCGCGTTAACCTGGACCGGAGGTGAGGATGGGAACGTCCCGTGTTTGAAAAACCAACAATACCAGTGTGCCCGCCTTCAATGGGACGTACCCGTTGGCCGACATTAATTAGCCGTGAATCACAACCACCGCCGCGTGGACCATTATATCCGCGAACCGGAAAATTTCGTGAAAACCGGCAGGCGAGTGTTTCTCGTCCCTTGGAAAATCGCGGTTTGAGCGGAATCGTTTGAAGGGAAAGTTACGTAACGAGGAAACAGAGTCTGGGTATTTGTTAAGTTGCCATTGGTAGCATCGCGTTTACGGAAGCTCCGTTCGCGTAACGTTATTTAAAACGAACGTAGAGTTTCATTACAGATCTTCCGAATATAAAATTCCTTCGTTAAAACGGGGATCCCCAGTTATCGGAGGGAACAGTTTGCTTATTTTCGTTTTAAGGGCGGCGTGGTAACTGGAAATTTGATTAAAATTTCTTCGTTGCTGCCAGAAAACTGTATAGCGAGAGTTGTTAAAATAATTCTAAAATAATTTAGAGATCCTCGATGTTTAAAATATCAAGGGCGTGGAAGGCAGAAACGATGTACTTTGGAAGGTTTAGAGAATCTTAGGATCCTTCGTGGACGATCGCTTCCCTCAGTTATAAGTGTAATTGCTGTGTGTCCCGATGGTTGTTTCTTCGGTTGGATTACATGCGGTCGCGTGACATCTCGCTGTGGTATTTACGAATTAATTTCGGCTGGCAAATATTAGAGTCGAAGAAATTAATATCCGTGGTGCCACCGTGTTTATTAATCACGATCTCCAATATTAGTTCCTCTCAAACACGAACGCAGATCGCGAAAGTTTGAGTGCGCGTTCTTGCAACATCGGGCACGAGGGACGACCGACTCCGGTCGCATCGGATTGCTTATGAGCGATGAGTTTGCCACCAACGCGACGATTAACTTTCCTCGAAAACTCGCGACCAGGAGAGATGGAAACGTCTGTATAAGTAATTTCGACGCTTCTCGAGTAGGCGATCTCGATAGAGCTTCTTTAGGGGTAGGTAAACTTGGGGAGGTTTGGAATGGTAGCATGTATTGGAATACTTGTTCAATTTTTATTAGAAATCTGGCATTAACGAAATTATTTATTTATAGACGGGGAGACCTATTACAGTAAAGGCTGGATAAGTTCTGACTGTATTGTACAAATTTATGAAGGTTACAGGGTTGTCACAGTTGAACGCTACGTATTAGCCCAAAAGTAACAACTTGAAATTGCTAGTGGGAGACAATGAAATAATCGAAAAAGTCTGTGTTATTACAGTGTAAATTCCCAAAGTTGCATATCCTATTGATCTGCATGGCACTGTGAATTAGATTTGTAACATCAGGTAGGAAAGTCTTGAAAGTAACGTTGACAAATTTGCGAAAGCCACAAAAGTATAGCGATTCGAGCGTGTCAGGCATCCCTCCGTCAATTCTGATCTGAAACAAAAATCAAAATATTCCTTTTGAATCACTTAGATGGACAAAGCTAGTACTCGTAACCCTTTCGAACGTTCCGGCACACCAGGAAATTTACTCGTAGGTCTCGAACCCGTCGCGATAATCACGGAATTCTTTTCGCCTCCAACGAACCACTTTTTCCAAGTTTTCGCGCAACGATGTGCCGCGAGAGCTGTTTAATCCCAGGCCCGTGTGTCGCGGCCGCCGCTAACAAACCTCATAATTCACCGAAGAATTTTCCGCGCAAATAATAGTCCACGTTAAAGCTCCTCCGCTGTTTATAAAACATTCCATATATATTACGCGCTGGATATTTCGTTCTGTTTAAAAACGGAAGGAAACGCGCCCTCGGCGCGGGTATAATAAAAAATTGAAATTTATACTTTCTGTTCGTTTCTTGTACGCGCGAGGGTTTAATGTTCCCGGCCAGTCGGGGCGGTTGTTTTCGACAGTGGCAAACGGATTTTGTTATTTTTATCCCCCCAACGGATAATTAAAAACGGATGTTGCACTCGCGTGGCTTCGCGAACAGGGAAAAGAAATTCGCTGGAGGCGCGTTGCTTGATACCGAAGGATTGACGCCATCTTTGAGTGTTAACAAATATTTATGGGAGCAAATACACTTTACGGTAAGATTCGAGCGCTTAAACGCACACCTGTGGCGCGAGGAACAATCATTTCCAAACTTATAGCCAGTATAAAGAAAATTCCAACGTAATAGCCATTACCAAACGAGTAGAATGTGATATATATTATTTTATGCATTTAGGGTTCGAATTAGTACACATTATAATTAATGGTAAACATGACCGAAGGGCACGTGTACTTATGCAATACGGAATATCGATATTATCATTTTAATTGTGGAATATAATTCTACAATACTATAAATAGACTGCGGGATCTTTATGTAAAATAAAATCTTTGTATACGTACCTACAAAAATTAAACACAAATAGAAATTTATTTTACTCTGCAAATATTATAATATCAACTTTACTCTCAATGTTTATTATATTCTTGCATATTACGTGCATTTTGTAATTTCTTGAACATTAGTGCATAAAATCCGCAGTCCAGTAATAAACAAGTAAAATCTACGTATTTTGTGCACAGTATAAGTGTGTGGTACTAAAAAAAAAAAAAAAAAAAAAAAAAAAATATATATATATATTCTGTAAAGATGCCGTGTCTCTTGTCGCCATTAAGCTGACGTAACTTCCACCGCGTCGCGAAGACGACGTCGTCGACGTGGCACGTACGTTTCACTCTTTCTGAACTCGAAGTTTCCTGTACTTTCATGGCACGCTGTTTCGCTCCGAACGTGATACGAAAGCTCGACTCGAGTCGACCAAGTACCCGCACGCACGTCCGAATTCCTACGATGGTATTTATTTACGCACCGCGGGCTGCTAACTCGCTCGTTCGTGCAAGAATCTCGACTAGACCCGACCGCGAGAACGTTCAAACGATGTCGAGAGGAAGTTGTCTTCCTCTGCGTTTAATTAGACAGCTTGAATTAAACTCTATGTGAATCTAGAACAAAATTAACGGGTCATTCGTACGAATTAAAGAAGCTCCGAAGAAGGAAACGAAACACGTTTCTTGTATCCTTTCGAATGATAGATGAATTAAGAAATTCTAAGAGCGAGGATTTTTGAGAGGACATTTATTTGACTCCTTTACGCAGGGATTAGAAGCGAAGCGAAGCGACGATTTGTTAGAGAAATAGTGGAACGTATCCGGCGTTCATTTATCAGCCGCGTGAAAATTCGGCGAACGGCTTGAAATTACTCAGAAACGGGTCCGTTTGCACGGTACGAAAATGCAATTAGGTCAAAGGATTGGGCGCTTTGACGAGCAGTGAACGGCGACGAGCACGGATACACGCGTATCGGTTTCCGATCAAGTATATCTGCTTACCAGTGAATTGGATCAAAGGCCGTGCAATTAATCTGACGTGGTTGTTCGACGTTGGCGAAATTCCTTTTCCCACGACTCCCAATCCACCTTTATTTATCGCGGGACGAGGTATCAATTGCGAGTCGCTCGACTCGAATATCGCCATAATTGCTTTTAAGTCCAACGATCGAGACCTCTTTTTCCTTTTCGACGCGCGCGCATCGTTTCATCGCTACCGAGGCGAGCGAAAGCTTCCTTCCATTGATATGTCGAGCAATATCGCGAGTTGGCAGCGTTTTTCAAAGTTTCTTGTTGTTAGGATTTCGAAATAGAGAGGATAAGTCGAGGATCGATATCTGTTGAAAATTGTAGCTCTATGTAATAATACGTGTGATATTAAATTCATTCTTTCCACGTCGAGTTATTCAGAAAGGTATTAGGCATTCTCAAAGGAGTCAAAGTCACCGTCGATGAAAAATGAAATTTTTACTTTTCGAGGCCTCAGATCCGTCTATAAAATCTGCTGTCACCTAAAACACCTTTCACCAACGCCTTCTACATATTTCCACGTACCTTACTGTGTCATCACCCGAAGATTGTCGAGGTTCGAGTGAACGTCGCACTGAACTTTAACCGACTTTGCGTCCCCCTGCTCCGCGTTCTGATTGACGTTCCCCCGGAAACCGCCGTTGAGGAACGGCGTTAGCAGTTCCACAGGCAGCGGAAAGATGATGGTCGAGTTCTTCTCCGCGGATATGTTGCTCAGCGTCTGCAGGTATCTAAGCTGCTGGCGTGAAAAGCGAGTAAGGAAACGGGCTCTATCTCCCGGCATTGGATTAATTTTTAATTACGTTGGGCGCCGCCTCGCTTCCTACCTTTCTTCCTTCAACGGGTCGTCGACGAGATCTTTTAATTAGAGAGCGGGTAATTGCGAAACTAATTGTGCCATCTGTATGGTTATACGAAAGGCTAGAGGGGCGGGCGCAATTGAAAAGTTTTCAAAGCGCAAGGCGAGACGAGGCGAACGATTTTAGAAGTTTACCAGCGACGCAATGAACTTGGAATAATTACCCGATTTCCAGAGATTTATCTCGACGATACAGGAGTCAGATGTAACCGTTTCTCGTGGCGATGAATCGTCGAATAGTCTCGCCTTGAGCGTCGATTAACTTGGATTGTCTTCGTCGAGGAAGAAGATAACCCATTGAGTTAGTGATTTTGTTATTTCATTACGCACTTTGGACTTGGTTTTAATTTGCAGATTAATTTACAGTTGAAATGTCTAGTATTAGAAATAGTCGTAGGGATTATTTGACGATAAGTCGTTACGTGGATGACCCCTATGGAAGAGAGTATGTAGTTTCGTCGCCGCCGCGTGGAAAATGAAGAATATTTCAGACGTTTCACTGTAGAGACAATGTGGAGCGTACCTGAAGGGCTGCTGGACTCATGGAAATGACGTCGCTGGCCTCTTTCAGAGCACGGGAAGCCAACATCTCTCCTTCCGCCGCAATCACTTTTGCTCGTGCCTCCCGTGTAGCTTCCGCCTCCGTGGCCATGGCTCGTTGCAGCTGCACCGGAAGTCGAACGTCCTTTCTAAATCAGGGACATCCGTTACCTTTCGTTCCGTGTACCTGCCTCTGTGTCTGCCCGTTTACACGCCTACAGGGTGTTCCACGAGACACGACTAATTTTAACGTTCGCTGCTTAGAGATCGATTAGGGATGCTAATGAAAATATACCGAAGTATCGAAGATGAAATTCGAGGTACAAATACGATACGATACGACAAGAAGTCGTTCAAACATGTAAAAGCCTTGCACAGTAACAGTACAACTACAAGGCTGAAGAAGACTCGAGGGACCTCATGAAACGGATGCAACAATTTTCAATGCGGAATGTTTAATAGCGCTTTTCTAATAGGGGCCAAGCATCCTCACCTGACCTATGACAACTTGTTGAATGACCTCACGAACAATTTGCAAGAGAATATAGAAAAGTGAAGAATATTAAAGCGAAGAAAAACAGCGATTCTACAATTACCATTCGAGAAAAGAAATTTTCCAACGTAAAAAGAAATTAAACAGAGTAATACTTGACGTAACAGTGAGGTCAACTCTGCGGTAAAGGGTAAACTAAAAGCGAGATTCGGAAGTAGGATTGCCGAAACGCAAAGTTAGCTCGGATGCGACAACTTGGACACACAGTCGTATGAACTGTTTGAGGGAATCGGATGCCACGCGTTATGAAACGTTCAATACATAAAAGCGTGGAAGCGTATTCGAGGGTAGTTTCGAGTTACGGCGAAGAGTCCAAGTTCCCCGAGACAGTTATGGGAACGCGACTGGAATAAAGAAGATTCTTCGGTTGTTTTACGTTGGCTCTTCGATGGCCCCGTTTTCGGAGGGAAGAATACGGTTCCACGAGCGATCGTTTCGAATTCGACGTCGGGACGAGTTCTCTCGGCTGATGCGTTTAGACAGTTAACCTACAGTCTGTTTCCGAAGAACTGAAGCGCTGACCTCGTAAAAAGTTAATGCCTTTGGGCTGCACTCAGCGCTTAAACACTTTGACGAAAATGGAAACGAGAGGGTCGAATGCACAGGTTCGAAACTTGACACATATTTTTTCTTATAATGTATCAAACGATTCTTCAGAAGTCGAATTTAGTGTAGAGGCACATTAGACACACAAACCCTTAATTAAACAATTTAGATAGTGGCATTCGTCCATATTTGTATATACTTTGTATCATTTGAAAAGTAGCTAAATCCTTTCACCGTAAACCATCGTAAACCTTCCACAGTAATACTGTTGCGGGCATTTAACGTGACGAAATACTTTTGGTCAACTTTCGAATACGGATACAGCCGGTTAAAAAATGTCTAGATTTTCGGTGTAAGTTATGCGCGACAGCGGCGAGAGCCAAGCGTTCCGCGTTCTCGTTTTCCTTCGTGTAGCGGCGTGCCGTACATTCAAGGGTGGCTTTAAGTTGATGCAAAAAGCGCGGCTTCCTTGAGCCAGTTACACTCGACCGGAATAAAACTCTACTTCCTCCGCTTTTTACGTTTCCCCCATTCGGTAGGCGTTGGCCATTTTTTAAGCGACAAGACACGCAGCGAACGCTGACCCAAATACGCGAAGAGCGCGGATGTTTCACGCCAGCGTTTCCCAAACCGTGTTACGTGAAAATTTCCAACTCCTGATGGAGGATCGATAATCATTTATCCGTTATATGTCGAAACTAACAGAATATTTCCGAATAGATAGAAATTTTACCATTCGAGTAAAGAAATATAACGTAATAGTGAAATGTTGCATGAACTCCATGCTTCGTAGAAAGCAACTTCCACATGCGAGTGATTTTCTAAATTGTACGTGTACATTTTCGATTTGATTCGGTTGTCAAAGATAAAACGTTCGTTTTAAAATTACAACAGTTCCGTGAATGCATCGCGATGGGAACAATGTTCCGCGACGAAAATAGGTTGGAAAAATTTGTTTTACGCGACGTATGCCACCAAAATGCACTCTGCAATTCGCTACATTCTCTATGCTAACGCGCACGGCCGTTCGTTATTAACATTTCGCTGTTCCGTTTGATCGTTTGAAATAGTTCTACTTCGAATGTGCACATTTTCGACACGTTTTCAATTCCATTTTAAATCCTGCGCGGCGGGTGTTCAAATATATCAGTAATCGAAAATGAGGGTAGAATTAATCTTGCTATTATATAAAGAGACAGCGTTTGTTTGTATGTACACAAAAATTTCAAAAACCAAACTTGAACAATAGCTTCCTTGCTTTCTACGAAGTAGCATAAGCTATGTTATTTTAAGAAAAACGATATTACATCCGCGTAAAAACACGTAAGATTATATTGAGCGCTCTGAGCCTATACCCGCTCCTAACTACCGCTCCCAATCGCTACGTGGCTGCGCGTTCGTGGCTACTTAAAAGAAAAATCGCAGTTTCCATGATATATACAAGTTCATTTCGTTCGGTGAATCGTCTCAAAAACAAAACACAACAAAAACTGTTGTATAATCCGAAGTTCTGTAATATCACATTACAATAAATTCAAATTCTACGATATGATACGAAAGAGAATTTAATAGTAACTCCGGACACGATGGTCGTATGTAAACGACGAGGGAGCATTCACAGGGAGCCTTCAGGGAACGTCCCTTTGATGCACCCTTCGGCGCACCCCTTAAAGAACCTCCTTGGAAAATCACTCGAGCTATTTTTCGGTCTCAGAACCACACGACTGTCTGGGTATCGGGGCGCGCGAAGTCCTTGCACGTCGAGCCGAAAGGGCTCTCATTTTTTGGATAGCCTATCGAGGAGTCGATGTCACACTCGAGCGCTCGCATTTATGCGCCTCCACGTACCTGCGTGCACCCTCGTGCGTTCACGCTCGTCGAGCAACGCGTCACTCTGGCTCGTAACGCTTGGCAGCGTCACGTTTTCATTATATTTATACTCGTATCGGTTTTTATGTCTACAGGTGTTGTTTTACACCATGTTTATTAAAGGGTGTGTTTATTCGCAATTACCCGCATTGGAATTCAGTTCACGTTCGATCGTATCGACGGCACCTTACAATTTATCACCAGGAAAATGAAAATATTTTCGAACCTTTCGTCAGAACGTTTACAAATTTGTTGCAATTAGTCGTTTCGATGTATGCCTTGATTCTCGTTCTGAGGTGATACGTTTCGATGACTTCTCGGTACCGAGGCTACTTCCTGATACTGCATGCACAAAAGGATAGTCTGACCGATGAATATTTCATCGCCACGGTATCGATTGGCGCGTATCAGAGTTCGAAGGTGTACCTCCTCTCGCGTGACGAGAAATACATCGGTCGAGTGTTACCTCTAATTGTAAGAGATCGACGTCCAGCAAGTTGGAAGCACTCGAAAACGGAGTGTTGTCCCAAACGAGTTACGATACGAGCTCCCGTTCGAATGAAACGTCAATTTCTCCGAGTCTCGCCTCTAGCAAAAGGATACTTAAACGTCGAATTAATTCCGATCCTCGAGCACATATTGGACTCGAACGAGCTCCCCCTCGGCGATAATACGGTCTCGTGGATCGATTCGAAATTGGAACGCGACAGCGGAGAAAGAAACGATTACCGCGCGGAGGGTGGAAGAGCGAGAGCAGTGTCAGGGAATTTTGGAAAATTCCCGCAATATCGTGTACAATAGCGGAGCTTGAATGATTCCACAGAGACCGTCGTGACGCGTCTCGATCGGGGTTATATTTCACCGTGGATCCTTTCCAATAAGCTCAATGGAGTGCAATACACTTTCGGCGCAACGTAACCGCGCCGACGATAACCTCTTTTCCACGAGGAATGATATTTACCGGTGCAATATACATCAAACATTCGATCGTCTCGCGATGATCGATAGTTTTCCTATTCCCAGCGAGCGACTTTCGATTGTGTTTGGCCGCCTACGTTCTTCGTTTTCCTTGGCGCGAGGTGGGTAAAATTTAGAGAAAAGATACCTAGAATACCGTTGCACGCGATAAATGATACGCTCGATCGAAATATTATAAACGAGATGCAATATTTCAAGAAATATTACTACGTACACAAACGAAGTACAGTGTCTCGGTCCTCGACGCGAAGTAGAAACTTGAAGGAAAAGTAAGAAGAAGGGATAGAATACACGTAGAACATAGAAAGTTGTATGGGAGATAGTGTTTCAGTCATGGCTTGATTCGATGCAATGGAACCTATCGCACAATGTGTTCGCGACGCTTTGAATGCGAGGAACACGTTAATGAAATCTGCAAGAAGATGGTCCCGGCTGAAGAGCAGAGAGAAGCCTACCGGGGTGATTTGTCGCGCATTGCCTTTCGAGTATCGGGTAATCGTATCAAGATTGAATGCACTCACATTTCGACGCGTTCAACCTTAACACCCCAAGGATCCGTGGCCTCGTCCAAAGACGTCTGCATGGTGTGCGAGATGTTCTCCCGCTCTGACAGGATCTCGGCCAAACTCCTCGTCCCGAGGACTGTTCTCAGCGTGCTGGCAGCCAGCAGTCGAGTCGAGTGACTGAAATAGAGCGGAGAATATTTTATTTTGATAACCGATTACGAATGGAAAGTATATCAATTTATTGGAGAATATTTTCTCCAATGTGGGGTCGTCAGTTTTCTTGATTGGTGATTCGAACGATGGTGTTCAAGTAATTGCAGTTACATGGACAGTAATTGTTAAAAGTAATGATTACTGTCTTTCAATTTATTTTAATTAATTTTAACTACATTTGCCACCGATTTTCCCACACAAAAATATTTCAACGTAATTAAACAATTATATTTTTGAATCCTTTATTGTGAAATATTCCATGCCCTACATGTAACTTTCGACTTTAATTCAACAAGTAACTAATAATCATTTGTTTGTTACATCCCCTGAATTCAATACCATGCGGATAAAAGATTACAATCGGGAAAAATAATTCGCGTAACTCTGTATCCCCGTGCCCTTTGTTCTCCGATTCGACTCTTTGTTTACCGAAACCCGCATTATTTGTCGAGTCGAAACTAAGCTTTTTGTTTTCGTAACGTGCGTTTTACTGTATGTTTTGCAGTTAATGGTTCACGTTTCCGAACCGCGGACGGTGGAGCTTTTCAACGTTTGCGTCGAGACGTCCTTTTACAGAAAATGGAGTATAATACTTGCAACGTATAATACTTGTGACGTTTACGCGGGTCACGTGTGTATATTGTTAACCATTCGCTGCACGTCGAGTGAGACTCGACAGAACCGTACCGAAATCGGAAGGTCTGGACTGCGAAGGGTTAAGGGAGAAGTGGAGTTTCACAGATTTACGTATCGAACTTTCTTTCCAGTGGAGTATACTTTGATTAACCCATTTGCATCACACGGAAAAGTGGAAAATTCGTTCTTATCGACAATATTTTATTTGAATTCAATTTCCAAGTAAATTGCGCGCATATATGCGTTAATTATGCAAATGGGTTAACTCGGAACGATTATGCATAAATCGATCGATCATCCGAGCAGAATTCGGATGTAATTTTGTCAATTTGGAAGTAGACTGAAAACTCACCCTTAGCAACCAGTTTATCCCCCAAGTTTCGAAAATATTTTTTCTTCCAAGGTCTTGAGACTCGACGATTCCCGTCGAGCATTATTTCAGCAAGACTCTAAACGACTCGAACAATATTACCGCGTGACTAATGCTTTCCACGCGTTGTTTCCCGCGGAACAATCTAATTTCCGTCGTGTCACGTCGAAACGTGCAACCCGCGCTTCGCAAGACGAGTTTTTCGTCAAGGCGGGTAGAATGAAACGTAAAGATCGCAATTACTTTCCCCCGTGGACCTTGCCGAATTTTTTGACCGACGGCATAAATACGCGTGTAACTTTAATTACGCCGCCGTATTTCCCATAATTGAACACCGAGGCGGCACGTTCTAGTTAATTAAACGTCGGCCGACCCATGGAAGCTGTCACGTGTGAGACTTAAAAACGCACCTAACGGGACCAGAACGGGGGCCGGCTTGTTCTCAGTAGGCAGACGATAAATCCAGTGTCAGCCGTTTTCTACGCTCAGCCATTCTTTCGTTTGTCTTTTTTTCCGTGGCGGAGAATTTCTGGCTGTACGTGCCGGAGAAAAAAAAGTTAATAAGGATGCCGTAAAAATCGGCTGCATCAACTCTTGACGAGCGATTTTCAACATCCTCTTTTCACGAGAGATACAGTTATATTGCGGTTAGTCCGCAAGCGAACGAAAAGTTTACGGCAGTCTTCCAGCAAGTCGTCGAAAATCGAGGAGAAAACGGACTCCCCGTCGATTCGAATGGAATTTGCATCGTTCGAGCGGAAACCGATTCGGCTTCCTGAATCGAACGCGTAACTTTCGTGCGATTAATCGGAGACTCTACGCACCCTGCGAATTAACTAAGTAATTTCGCCACGCTCTCGTCATTCCTCGAAGACCACCCGTAGCTCGTATTTCTCTCGTCGTTGATTCCCTCTCGAGACGGTGTCGTCTCTCGAAACTATACGACACCCGCGATCCTAATTAAAATTTCAGAAAATCGTGTCCAGGTTAATTTACCCTCCAGCCAAGGAATTCCAATTAATTCACGGTATCCCCAGAATGTCGGGAGCCGTTTCGCTCGCGATGCTTGGTTCCTTCTTAATTCAACGTTCGGAATGGAAGACGGGACAAAAAAAAAAAAAAAAAAGAAACGCTCGAAAGACGTTCGTTTCCGTTTTTCGAGAAAAGCTTGTTGGCTTCATTAAGTTGAACGTTACCCGATCCTGACTAATTTCATCGTAATTCCGACGAATTTCCGGTTCGCGTGACCGACGAGCAAACTTTCGATTCGACGGGGCGGCGCCACGAAAAAATTGCTCGACGATGTCGCGACGCCCCGCGTCGTATTTCCCGTTCCGTTCAAATCGAGAGAGAACGGTGGCCAGCTATTCCAACGACCTCATTTTTCCTCCTTTTCTTTTCTTCTATTTTTCTGCCAATTTTTTTTCGTGCCACTACGGAGCGAAATGAGATCGTCTGCTCGAGGCACGCGATTACTCCGACTATAGTGGAAGGGGGAAGGAATTTTTGGGAATTTATAACGCGACGCGGTCGCGGCGTCGAAGCTTCAAATGGGGGAACGTGGCTTACCTGTAATTTGCTATCTTGACGACGGCGTTCAGGGGCTCCTTTATGCGGTAGTAGACCACCGCATCGACGCTCACTGTCACGGAGTCCTTGGTGAGGACTTCCTGCGGAGGGACGTCGAAGGATACCGTCCTCAAATCCACACGGACGCAACTGTCCACGCAGGGCATCACGAAGAACGTTCCTGTTGAAAATGAGCGACGAATTGCTCTATCAAGCACTTACGATTCTATTGTGACGCGTGTTTTTGGGATAGGTGTCAACATAAATTCCAGTTAATGTGACTTTTATTGCGACCGACTCCTGCTCAATCTGCCGAACGACTGTCTGTTCGTCGCCGGTTGTCGATGACGCGACACTCTCTTAATTGTTTTTAAACAAAAGAGAGCCAATGGTCGTGTGTCGCCCACGAACGCTGATTAGCTAATTCTTACACTATCAAACAACAAAAGTATCGAAAATTCCAGCAGCCACGTCCAGAACCGGGTTTTCGTTAAAAACAGTGCCCTAAGCCTTACCTGGTCCATAAGCTCCCTCCTTCAAGCGTCCCATCCTGAAGACCACAGCCCTCTCGTACTCCTGCACGACCTTGAACGTGAAGCACAAAGAGAACGGAAACGTGACAAGCACCAACAGAACGGACCCGATGGTAGCGAGGACCTCCACCAGCTTCGTCATCGCGCCCACCTTGTGATCCCCCGGCATCTGGGAGCTGGCCACCCTGGATTCCTCTATTTTCGCGATCGAGCAACAGAAATAGCGGGGAAGCGATGGGAAATATATCAAATTAAACGGCTCGAGCGAGATTGCTCTCCGAAACAGTCGATCCCTTCGAAACCGGCGCGTAATTAACGACCGTTCGATGGAGCGATTTGTCATTGGTTGCACGCTTAGCGATCTCCTTTCCCTCGGCCGAGCCGTGGCGTCTCTTTTGTTCGTTCCCCGGGCAAAAGCAATCATGCAAAGGCTTTTTACCGCGGCCCGTCCTCGGTAAATTGCGCGTGAAATGGAACGACTACTGTCGGAGAAGTAATCCGTCCGTTCCTCGACGACAGCTTTTTTCATTAATTTCATCTTACGTCCACCCGACAGCCGATTTCTCGCCCTCTGCTCGAAATCTCGCGCAGCGAGTTTGTTTCGCCTGGACGGGCACTGGGACGGAATCGCTGAAACGTGCCGGAACCTCGCAGTTCTGGGGTTTAATTAGGTCGCTGCGAAATTAATTTAAAGGTACGCGAGGAATTAAAGGGATTTTCGTACTAAACTTTCGGAGAATCGATCGGGAGGAGATGTTTGTATAAAGACAAAGTGCAGAGAGAATTCTCAAGGCTAGACGGATGCTGCGAGTCCTAGAGATATTCTTCTAAATCGTCGCTCCATCGAATTCTTATCGCAGTCGAAGAAACCTCTAACTACGAAGCGGTCCAACTTCGACAACTCTACCCTATTACTTTTCGGGAAGATTCGTCGAGCAACAGGTCGTTATGTCTGCGGGAGGAGGAGGAGGAGGAGGAGGAGGGGGGCGGGGGAACAACGTACGACGAGTCGGTATAACTATCGTTGCACTTCGTCGTGTCGAGTCGTGGTATGATAAATCGTCGCGTCCATGGTTCGCATTGTTCTACGAAGGGTCGTACGAACCGTTATAACGATAGTCGTGTGACAAAGCCGTTGCTGCCATTCAACGCAGCTGCGTCGCGCCACAGGTTGTACGCTACAAACCCGCACACTTTGCAATTATCGTCGAAATTGCTCCGCGAAATATCGTTGCGTATGTGGCGTCTTGGTAAGCCGACGTGGCGGGCATGGTTAAAGGGGTAACGTAGTTCGATGAATCATCGCGATAGAATTTATGCGGTATTTAAATTCCTAAGGAGAGAGTCACTCTTCTGTATTGTAAGTGTTTCACCTTTCAACTTAATTAATGTTCGTTAAAGGGCGACGTAACAAGTTATCTATATATGTAGGAATGAAATCCCTGATTCGGTGACATATCAACTCCCATGCTACCCTGGAACCTAGACCCTTGAATCCAGAAAATTGAAATTTTCCACGGACGTTTCCTGTATGATGTATACGTCGCAGAGGATAGCGAGTTGCTTATTCCGAGACAATACTGTATTTCACATGGGTGACATCGCGGGATGCAGGTGCATATATAAAATAGGAATATAATTTCACGCGGGTCGCAGCTAGTTGAGAATAAAAAGCACTCGATTATGGAACTATCAAAAATTCGTCCTCCATTATTCACGACTATGCCCACCCCTTGGTTATCGTTGTATGAAACGGAATAGCAAAAAGGAAAACGGTATCGAGAAATGTCCCTCACTGAACTCGACGAAGCACTCGACTCCACCGCTGTCGGTTTTCGCGCATCCGTAGTGTACCATGCCGCGCGATACCGTGCTCCTCCGACTCGTTCGATCTTCGTTCGCTGGTGTCGTCTTCCGTATGACAGCAACGAAGAGACCGTGTCAAACGTTGGAGAACCCGTACGGAGGACTTCTTGCTCTTTAATTGATCGAGCTACTTCGCTGGGACAATCTTTAACTTTATCTTTAGCGAGACCCCCGATAGAACGACTGAAAGTCTCATTGAAATAAAAGGAAAGAGCTCTGGGTGTATCTCCGGAGGAACTAGGCGGCCAACACGACTCTTGGACACTTTAACCGCGCTGTTCACTGCGCGCACCGAGAAAACTGTGCCGTTTTATTTCTCACGGAATGAAGAGGAAGGAATACTTCCCTTACCAAGAAGAATAATAAAATAAACAATCTATTATAAATGGATGGACTTCTTCTTGACGATGCTTGTGTCTCTTTTAAATTAAATTTACTAGCGAGAAGTTTCAAGTTTGAGAGACATCTTAGAGTCTCCTACGTTCACAAATATTTATTAAGGTTTACGTCTCGATTGAACACACAGAGAGAAACAGGAGCTCGTTTTTGTTCGAAGAACTAATCCGATTACCACGACGAATAGGTTAGTCCGACCACCAAGACGAGCCAAACTGGCCACGGCGGAGGCGACTCGCGTACTAAAACGGCAACCAGGAAAATTCGCGAATTGAGCCGCGGAGGGAACGATTCGGCTACCATAATAGCAAGCAGGAGGGTTCGACAGGAGGCTGGATCGCGAGCAGCCGTCGCGACGCGTCGAGAGAAGCGTCCGGGAACGGTACGCCTGATTTGTACCGTACACGCATACCGTATCGCAAACCTCTACCAAATTGCCGCACATACGTCCACGAATTTATCGTTTACGTGAAAAAAAAGATGAAGGATTGGCTACAGAAGCCTTGCTGGGCTTGTCTAAAAAAAGCCGAATCTCTGTTAGCGTCCAAGTCTGCGCTTCTTTTCGAAAACTCGAAAGTGTTAAGAATCCCAAGAATCTTCAAGATTAGGTTTCGTTTTCATTGAAGATTTATTCACTGACTCGTTAATAGTTATTCTAGACTATCATTCGTCCTGATAATTTTGTATAATACGATATACAACGCCGATCTATTCAATTTTGAAACCTCCATCAATTCTCGTTGAAATGAATTATTCGTACTAGGTGTTTGCGGGCTCAGGACGAAAAATTCGGTCCAGTTATTTACCAGACGGACTGTGTATTTTAATATCCTCGCAATTAAGGCTCCTCGGGCGTGGAGCGTCGCGGCTGTCCCGAGAAAGAGCTTTAAAATCTGATTTAGCGTTTAATTTCGGACGATGATGAGACTCCGCCGGGGCCGCAGTTTATTCTCGTAATTAAGCGTTTATCGTGGCCAACGGCAGGTAATCCGAGAATTTTCCGTGGTACCTAGACGACGCGGGGAATCTTTGAATTAATTTCACGATCGGAGGGAGAACCTGTCGCGACGCGACGCGACGCCCGCGTTACAGCGTCCTTTGGAAGGCATCGGGCAGAAATTATGGGTTCCTTTGGTGTACTTTTCTTCTCGTTGAAAGCTCGCGATTAAAGACCTCGCGATGCCGTCTACTCGTGGACGCCCCACTTGGCGCGAGAGGGGCCTTGCGATGCTCGGAAAATTTCATTTTCTAGGGGCATTTTCAACGCCATCCTCCAGGAACGTCTGATTCCGACGCTAATTTAAACGTGGACGTTTTCAATTTAGTCGACATCATTATTCATGGGGTTCATAAGCGACACTTTTTCTTAGTGGCTCCTTAAGAATTGAAATATCCCGTACATTCGTAAGGTTTATAAAGATTATTATACACAATTTAAACGGCTCATAGACGGTCAATATCGTTGCTCAATATTTGGACTTTGTGCAATATATCGTACGAAATTCAAACTTTTAAAAATATATTGCACAGAGGGGAAAATAGTGTGATCATATGTGTGTCAATATTATTGACCGTCCATGGGCCACCGTCAAAATATTGTTCAACCCATGTTGCGCAATATTGTTGACCGTCTATGGACCGCTTTATACTCGATTCAGTTTTTCAATATCGCTATTGATAACTTCGTAAGAGATTCTCTTTTTTGTCGAAGTAGTTTGCACTTTAACGAATATCAATTTAATCTTGCGTGTAAATGCATGCTTGTCACACCGGCACTCAAGAATTTACAAAGATTGTCATGCATAATTTATATTCAATTTTTGTACATTAGAGAAAGTACGCACGATTGGGACGTTTACTCCAGGGTCGCGGGATATCCATCGCGTGGGACACTCGTTTAACACGGGCGCTACTCGGCTTCTCCGCGTAATTAAACGCTCCGCTAATAGCGGCATCCTTCATCTAATTAAAAATTTCAGCCCGGTGAAAAGAAAACAAGCGTCGGCGCTCTTGTCGCGCGGCCGCCTAGCGCCGATGCGTGAATTTTTCACGTCGGACGGGAAATCTGGTGAAAAGCGAAGCGTAAAAAGGGCGACAGTGTTGGCTAAAAGCGTCTCTTTCTTTTCCACGGGCGCCACCCGTTCCTGGGAACCTTGCAATTAAATAATTGCGGAAGAATCTACTCGGAAGAATAAACGTTTTCACAGCGACGTCCGTGTTTTATCTCTCATCTTTCGTTTCGCTGTATCCTTTTTTTTCTCCTTTCCTTTTTCGTCGCTATTGTTTCCGCGCGTCAACTCGTCAACTGCGGAGCTTTAAACTTCCCGCGCCTTTTCTCTCCATCGCTTTGATTACTTCGAGGGCTCGCGTTACTCGGGACCCTCCGTTTCGCGTATCGAAATCCATTAGATTAATGAAACTACTTCTCGCTTTGCGGGATTCGCAGTCGCTCGGATAACGTTTCTCCTCTCTATGCAAATCACGACGCGGCTGCGAATCGCTGCTCGCTTTCCGCGCGCGACGATAAACGATGACTGCCGGTCGGAGGCGTAAAAGATTCGCGGAACTACAGTTGAAACGAAAGAAGAATTAGGATAAAATGTTTTGGGTTCGAGAATAGCTCGCAGCCGAAACACGAGCGCGTAAAACTTTAAGGTTCCGCGGGAACAGATGTTATCGTCGGAATTTGCATCTACGCGCCGACGAATGTGCTCGGCTTCTACGGTTGCACAGGATTTTATATATTCTCTCCTGAAAAGTGTGGCGATACGTGGGTTTCCAAGTAGAATCCACCTAAGGATGCAGTTATGGAGTAGCATTGGGTACGTTCGAGCCTCTAGGGCTGCGAGGCTAAACTAGCCCTCAGGGGCTGTAGCGGTGTTTTTTAAAGCTACAGTACGGGCTTAGCAACCCCGAGGTACCCGAGCTAGAGG